ATATATATATATATATATATATATATATATATATATATATATATATATATATATATATATATATAATAGATATTGTTATCTTGAAGCAAATATATTTTTAGACAAAACATGACTTTGACAGATAAAACAAGGTCAACGAATAAACGAATAATTGTACAAGAAATAAGCTACATATTTTTGTATTTATTAAATCTACAAGTATTTTAAAGTCGCTGAGTATTCACGTAGCTGTCCTTGTTTGATGACGTCAGAAGCAAGAAATGACATGTTTGCGAATCTTTATAAATTGCTCCAAACACTATCTTCTTACTATCACAATTAATAAATAGCCATTGATATGACAGAAATAATAAGAAAAGTTAAAACTTGAGTTGCATGTCAATAATTTTATAGCTATTTATTATTAATTTTAACAGCAAAAGGAGAGCATTCTGAACATTTTACAAATTTACTGAACTAACCACAAGTGTCGTTTTATGGATATATCTTTATATTTCAACGCATAACGCAAGAATCGTGAGCATGCAATTTCTTGCTTCTGTCACCAAACAAAAACAGCCGAATAACCAAGAGGTTCTCTTAATACATTTTTGTATATTTTTACTCATTGTACCTATTCTGATTATTGATTATATATTTATCCTATTTTTCACCTCTTAATATGCATAATTATATTGTTAATAAATATAGAGAATCTTTTGTGTTAGAAATTATCTGTCTAGTTGAATACATTTTTAATGAGAACGTTTGACAGAAAAGAAGAAATACATTTATTTTTATTTCTTCCCTTTCTCAAGCATCAAATAACACTATATTTTATATGAAATTCTTTGTAAACATTTGCTAGCATGTATGTTTATTTTACATTTAGAGTTTATTGTAACACAATGTATGTAAGATTTACATGACAGAAGGGGTACTAGGCTACCTTTCAAGGATATTTAGTTCATACTATTTAATATCTTGATTTACGTTCCAATCTTCTTACAGATATAAATTACAAATGATCCACTTAACTATACTAAATTCGATCTATAATCGTCGGTTATTTCTTTTACAAGTGCCCCAATTATGTGATCGGCGAAAGTACATGTACGTATTATACTACACCGCATTACTTTGTAACGGAACTTACACTGAAAAACATCCGTAAGTATATCAGGTTCGATGTTAAATTCGCGAAGCGTGAAATAGACCAATCTCACGAGATGAATATCCACGATCCCGAAGAGAACCTAGTGATGTTCGCTGGTAAAAGCCGAGAAATTTCTTAAAATTATTCTCCATGTATTAACGCGCGACGAAAAGTCTATTATGTGAACTTAAACATATTAATAATTTAAGTGTACATCCTAGGTAATACAATTCCACAAAGAGTGTAGTGTGTAGCTATCAATTTTATTTCATAGTGCCATAAATGGTTGAACAGATGATGGACTAATTCCAAGGCAATCGAATCATATCGTGAGAGAAAGATGGAATTTTCTTTTCTGTTTCTATTTCTGTTCTGAAGTTTGAACATTCAGCGTGGCGTTCCGTGCGTACGCATAATGTAACTTTACGTACGACTACGCTTAGTACAGAGATTGCGCGTTGGAGGAACGTGGCCGTTTGATCTTCTCCAAGTTCTTCATTACAAGATCATGCAGAGAACAGTAACGATTGCGGACCTCACACATGACAAGCCATAAACTCACATACTCCTTCTCGTCCAATTCCTGAACTGCCCTTCTATAATCGATGATGTGTGGATACTTAGCGACTTTACTAACGACTTTACCCCTGGAGATAAAGTACCTGCAAAAAAATGGAAGATATTTTTTTTTCTCTTGCTCTATCAGCCTAAGGATTTCGAATATGAATAGTTGATAATATCAATTGTTTGTTGTCCCTACTTTACCTAGAAATTTGATCAAAGAATGCAGCTGCTTCACTTTCAACTGATTGGATCTCAGCTAACGTATCCTCTTGAATTGACACACCAAAATTATTTCCATCTTCAATTTTGGGGATCAAGAAAGAAATCCACATTTTTAGCTGCAACAACATCATCAATAATAATTTCAGAAGTCTATCCACAATATGATAAGAGTTATTTCAACAAAGAGGCAGTAATAATAAGGCTGTTAATATTCTAGCACACTTAATACTCACTAAGTTGGAGTCCTCCAAAAGTTGTCTAATATAGGGTTTAACTATGTGAATCAAATCACACAGTGGTTTGTTGCAAGGTACTGGACCACTTGGAAGTACCATGACTTTGGTTCCGCTAGTCTCCTCCACATTATTGTCTAATTTACATTTCTTCGAAGCAGGACCATATTCGGAATGATTAAGAATGATGGGGTCTGGAATGGGTACATTTAACTCTTGATGTACATCTGACAGCTTCCGATTACAAAATCCAGGTGTTTCCAGCAATTCATTTAATTTGACTATCTTCTCAGGGAATCCTTTTATTAAGAGTTGTTCTGCCTGTAATATTACATAGAAATATGTACAGAAATATGCATCATACAATTCTTTAGTAATAAAAATCAAATAATTCTTTAGTAGTAAAAATCAAATATAATACTTAAGAAACCAAATTACCTTAGACTTAAGAGAGTCTTTGTATTCCTGAACCTGTAAAATAAACTCGAAACATATATAACTTTGATAAGCTGGTAAAAGCTGATGATGCTTGTACAGATACATTAAATAACAAGTGATTTTAGATTAAAGAGTTAGAAGAGATGATGTATACAAATTTCTTTACTAGTATAAAATATAATAACATAGTGGATCTCAAAAATAACATATAAATAGCAAATAAAAAATAAATAATAATAATGTCGATATTGAGACAAAGTATTTTGAATGTTGAGATAATGTCCCAATGCAAATCATATCTATTACACTTTCAGTTCCTTTATTTTCTGTATAACCATTTGGCAATACATTATTGGAATCACTGTTTGGATTATTAGGAAATACAGAAAACATTTATGTAGATAATGATAAGTGTTTTGAGAGTATTTAACACTTCAAGAAGTTTCAAGCAAGATTTTGATTTGAAAATTTCAACTTGCACTTTCACATGACAGAATACAGAATCAGAATGAGAGAATACAGTTTTTAAAGGTTATAACACAGAATACTCAATTGTTTGCTGAGTCATACAGTGATGAAAATTTTTGGCACAATTTGTAGGATTTTTTATTCTTTAAAAAATAAACTTAAAAATTCATAAAAAACACAAAAATATATTTATAATAAACTTTGTTCCATCCATCTCTCTATTTTGTAGAGACTCAATTGAGACTTATCTGAACAATACAAAAAGAAAACTAATATGATTTAAAATTTTATGTAAGGTTCCTGAGTACTCGTATATCGTTCATCTCTTTTTAATGATGTCAGAAGTAGGGAAACACATGTTCAAATTCATGTAAAATACATTGAAATAAAAAGATATATCCGTAAAGTGATATTTGCAATCGATTGAGCAAATATGTAAAATAGACTAAACACTTCCTTTTTGCTCTAACAATAAATAATTTATCGTAAATAAACATAATAGAATCATGAAAAGATTGTTACAAATATATCTTTTTATTTCAATATATTTTCTACAAAAACTTTTAACATTGCATTTCCTTGCTTCTGATGTCATTAAAAAAAAGAGAGATAGATACCCAAGGAGCCTTGATATAAGATATATAACTCTAGATAAATATACCTGTATTAATGCTAATAGTGTTCTAAACTAGAAAAATTTATTTTGTTACTAATAACTTTGTTCCTTTCAGGAATCTGTATAACAATTTTGAATAGTACTATTGGACACAAAGAACCATTGCAACCAGTAGCTGTTTATAGCAACAATCTATACAAAAAAAAAAAAAAAGCAAGACGAAGACACATGTATATTATAGGCGATTGTATAATCACTAACAATAATATCATCGCTTTTCTAATCATGAACCTGCGAAAAATGATTTACATTAAAACCATAAGAGATCTACATACAACGTGATCACTTTCTATAAGCTCCATAAGTTTATCAAAAGCGACACCACCGTTACTATCAGTGACATTCTCATCCATTTCACCAACTGTAGCGTTGACTCGTTAACGGAACGAAATTGACGCTATGACCAGACTCGAAAGAGCCATCAGGCGAAACATTACAGCGAACGTACGCGAAGAAAGAGGTTAAAGTCGTTAATGTGCCACGAACGTTTTTTTTTTTTATAGTACCCGATACGCGCGCCTAAGCGTAGGCGATGCACAAAGAAGGACGAAAAGAGTCAAGAAAAATTCGTCGACAGACTTCCCTGTACGATCGCGATGGTGACAATAAACCCGCAGCTTTTCCCCAATGGACAGACATGACCACAAGTATTAATAAACACGCTCGGACGAATACCGGTGTTTAACCTAACCACCACGATCGCTGTTCCGTCGACGCGCTCTGCCTGCAGTTAGATTAGTCCTCCTTATGCAGTGCTAATGTGCTTGGTTACACCACAAAATCGCGATATTTTACCTTTTGTGCCGTAGCATCCGCCATTATACGTCCTGTAGAAAAACTTTTCTAAACTACACTGTGTATTATGTCCCTTTGTTAAAACGTGCACTTTAAGCAGGAAGTGGCGCTGTGATGTGTTGCGGCAAGTACTACTATCGCCATCTGGAGTTCTAAAATAAGAAAAGCAAAACAACGTCTCCGAATCCCTGATTGGTCGACGGCGTTCAAATTCTTGATTGGTTGACTCGACGCCATATTGTGACTGCAGCCAGTCGTTGCGTCGACAACCGACGTATGTATATACACTGATGTTCATTAAAAGGGCCTTTGTACATAGAAAAATTTTAACCGTAAAGCCCGTATCAGACTACCGACTACGACTGCCGACTTTCAATGGAACAATCACAGTGAAGCGCTGACTCGGCGCCTCACTGTGATTGGTCTATTGAGAGTCGGCAGTCGTAGTCGGCAGTCGGTAGTCTGATACGGGCTTAAAGGTGCGTTCAGATGGAAAAAGAAATAGCGAAACGGAACAGTTACGGAAAAGAGATATAGTGGGAGTCAGGCAATCAGAGTAATTCCATTTTTATGCCGTTCTGTTGTTTGATAGGTAGGTTTTACATGGCACAATTAGAGCATATATATAGAGGGAATTGCGCATGTCTTCTGTAGACCAAAAGTGTCTCCAAGATCTGTACGAGAGAAAAAGATATACATTCCTATCGCTCCTCTGTGCGCATGCGCCAACATGCGTCAGTTGTTGCAGGATTACAAAATTATTGGTTTCAATATATTTTAATTGAATTCTATCAACTTTACCGAAAAATAGCAAGAGATAAAAATTGTTTATTTTCTTCTCATAGAGCTCTGAGAATTTTTTCAGAATTTTATATTAACTATTTAGTACTGCATTTTTTTACATTTTCTTACATTTTCTTAAAATATTAGAAAGTTAATACAAAATTCTGAAAAAATTCTCAGAGCTCTATGAGAAGAAAATAAATAACTTTTATCTCCTGTCAACTCTATAACCTAACCTAACTTGTTAACTTCAACGCATGCGCACAGAGGACGAATAGGAACGTATAGCTTTCTCTCTCGCACACATCTTGGAGACACTTTTGTGCCAGCATTCCCTCTCCATATAATATGCTCTAAGTTTGTTACTCACTAAATACAAGGCCTCTTCTTCCATATCTTTCTTAATTGCGTCCGAACCACCACCTCGACGACACGGGTTAATGAAGTTCTTACGTTCTTAAATCGGGCCGTGACTCAATACTCCGATATTAAACGCGCGGTTTGTGCTGAGAATTGTGACAAACGGCCCTCGATCAAAATCGTCATCAGAAGTTGCCGTCCTCAACCTCGTGCAAAAAGGGGGTTCCTGACCACACCACTACGGGGAGCTCTGGCGCAGGACACGCACGCAGACCGCAAAGGCGACACTCTAGATAACTGGGCGTAGAAGCCGGTAAGTTAGAACTTTATAGGGACGTCTACATTGGATGTAAATAGCAAGAAGTAGAAAGCAAGAGTAAGAAATTGACCAACCACAGTCGAATGTGAGAAGAATAATCAACTATGATTGGTCAATTTCTTATTCTTACTTTCTACTTCTTACTGCTTACTTCCAATGTAGACGTCCCTTATTTGCCGCCAACGACACTACTTTCTTTAATCCGTGCGTAACAGCGGGCATGCATCCGCTCTGCATTTGTTCCGCGGTATAGCTTGGCGAATCTAGGATCGCGTGGATCCCCGGGGGAGAATCACGCAGATTCGAATTAATCCGAAAAGAAAGCAATCCGGTTCCGGCAGCACGGCCCGAGCATTGCATCATACTCGCGCAGCCGCGGCCGGCTGGAACGTAACAGTAGTGTTGTGCCGACAATTACGACAATTGGAATGCAATTTGTGTCGCCGTGTGCATGAAAGTGTCTAAGGATATTGCAATTGGAAAGCACTCGATAAGAACCAGGGCTCTGAAAATATTGGGTGCTTACGATAACGAGAGTAGAGCGAGTGAGATCTGGATCTAAGAGAATAATATAATCTCCTATCTATAACTGTAATATTCTATGGTCTGCTCTTGCTCCTGCTCTTGCAGTCTCATGAACACAGGAGCAGATCAGTTCATCTCACGAACAACAAAGGGTACCCTGGTAGCACATGTTGGTTTTATATACGTTTTATAAACGTATGTAACGTTTTATTATCGTTTGTAAAATATATCAAAAACGTTTCTTAAACGACACGTGTTACTTGGGTAATGTATCATACTTAAAGTGTATTAATATTTTATCTTAAATTTACACTTAGATGTGAGTTTTTAAGCTGAATCAAGATTATATATAATATGTCACGTATTTCATACGGTTCAATTAAAATAAATTAATCAAGCTCTTTGCAATCTTTGATAATTGCAATCTGATCATCTGACGTGAGACAAGTTTCAAGTAATAACTATTAATACAGATTCAGTCTTGTTTAAGGAGAGTTTGAGAATCTCAAATAATTAATAAACTAAAATAATATGTTACATAATTCTTTAAATAAAGAAGATAAAATATTAATACTCTTTAATGGTTCCTGCACACAGGACGCGGTAATGCTTGCCGCGCGGCGGAAGTTCGCGCGACAGCCAATCAATATGCTGCTTTCCGTAATAACCTTCTAACTCTTACGGAAAAACAACATATTGATTGGCTGTCGCGCGGCAAGTATTACTGTGTTCTGTGTGCAGAAGTCATAAGTGTATGATACATAACCTTTTGTTGTTCGTGAGACGAACTCCTGGGGCCCGATGTTTGACGATGTACGAATGAGATACGCATGCGAAAATCTACGTAACGTGAACTATACATCTTCGCATGTGTATCTCATTCGCATACCATCAAGAATCGAGCTCCTGGATACCTATTATGGATTTCTTCGGAATCAATTCCGATTGGAAACATTCAGTTATTTCCTAGATTTTTATTGTCTTTTTTAGGGGAATTATTCCGATCGTAATTGATTCTGAAGAAATCCATAATAGGTACCCTGATCTGGGGGTCGATTGTGTATCTCAAAACGGAGTGAAAATGACAAAAGTGAGCAAATTTACTAGAATATTTGTAACTTCATTGGTCAATGTCTAGTGAATTTGCTCACTTTTGTAATTTTCACTCCGTTTCGAGATACACAATCGACTCCCTGCTCTTGTGTTCATGAGGCTGCAAGAGCAGGAGCAGACCATAGAATATTACAGTTATAGATGGGAGATTATACTATTCTCTCGGATCCAAATCTCAAGCGTTGTCTACAATATGCGGAGTAAGTTTGGAATAAGTAAGGCGTAAGAATTAACCAATCATAGACGATTATTTTTATAATAATCGTCTATGATTGGTCAATTCTTACGGCTTACTTTTTATTTCAAGCTTCACATATTGTAGACGACGCTTCACAGTCAACAAGTGAAACTTACCTTAGGAAACAAACTCTCTTATTGGATGTTGTATTTGGTGTAAGTTCGTCGTGTCATGTAACAGATGTATTACGCGTCAAACTTTCAAATGTGAAATACGTTATACTATTATCAATCATAAGTTTCGTCAAATACAAATTCTATTGTTTCAAGGGCAAGTAGGTAGATGAGTAGTTCTTTTAGTTTTGTTATATTTAATGTTTTTCGACATTATGACACTTTTCACCTCATTTCGCTTTTCTTTTTTCTTCTCTGAGAAATATTTACGAAAAATAACTTCGAGAACGCTAGATCAATGGGACTTATCTCAAGCGGATTGACTATTTCGTATTTAACGGTTCCTCTCCAACAATTTCTATTATCGATAAAGGCAACTCTATAAGAACATGTCGGATAAATGAGTACTTCTTTGCAGCAATACTCTTGTGTCGTCATTGTTAATTACGGAAACACAGTTAATCGACCATGTTTAATAAAAGTAACGAATTATTAAGGATTATAATCATTGCGGTAGATTTTTCCTTGTATAAATACATATTAAATAAGGCTAGGTGAGTTTCTTTGCTTTCTGGTAAAGTGTATCGACGACCTTTCCCATGCTGTGTATCGTGTCCAGCGCAATTTCGTAAGTCTTGTCGCGGGGTGTATCTTCGAAAACAATTAAGACGCCCTCTCCCTGGTCGAGGACTCCGCGGAGCTTTTTGTCCAATATCATCTGCGACAGTTTCTTTTCTACTTGTGCCAATGGTAGAGATATACACGAGGCAATGTGGCTTACCTGTGAAAAAAGAAATTAACTTCTTCCACCTGGTACCTTTGAGGTAAAAGTACCGATGTCCGAACAGATACCTAATCCTGAAATATTCTTCTTATTTTGGCTCCTTTAAAAACAAATATTTGAACTTTCATAACATATGAAACATATTCTAAATAAAAAAAAATATTTATATTTAACAACAATAAGAATGTCCAGAATTAGGTACGTGTCCGGATATTTAGTACTTTCACTTTACCAAGAAATCTTCAATCCACCATAGGATCTTTGACTGAAACGAAACGCGTGTTCAGTCAACGTGCTCGCATATCTTTATAAATATCTTGTCCTCATAAATACCTGAACTCGTGAATAAGGTTCAACTAAACGGCAGAGATTTTGCTCCAGCATAGCGTCATAGAGGGAACCAAGATGTGCGCGTACAATCACGTCGTCCTCTAATTGCTGTCGGTATTGCTTGACTGCCTTTTGAAAATCTGCCAATGATCGTCGATGACTGGCTTCGGCAACTGCGCGCATCGCGTCCAAGTCTGATCCCGCGTATTTCACCGCCAGTTTGCCAGACATGATCGCCTGAACGTCTTCCGGCGTACGCAACATGATTTTCGACAGTAACATATACTTGAGCGCTGTCAGTGCTTTGGGACTTTCAACACTGTCATACCTAGAAATGGAAAGAGTATACAGACATGTGTTGTCGTCGGGAGACCGCCAGAACCGGCTTCCTGAAATGAGATATATTGGCTATAGATACCCCTCGAAGGCTTCATAGAAGTAAGAGTAAGCAGTCTTGAAATCTCGCTCGTCCGCAGCGTGTAATATTCCAGATTGTAGATCCAAAGCCGCCTGCATCTTGGGTGGACAATAAATCGCGTTGGCAGTTGTCCTAGCGCTGGTGAGTGCAGCTCTGGCCTTTGCTAAATTGCTTAAAGCATGATATGTCTTGCTCTCTAACAATTGAACTTCTACTAGTAGCTGTTTGTCGTCGAGTTTCTTCAGTTCTTTCAGGAGAGCAGAGCCTAGCTGCAAAGCTTCGCTGAACATACCCGTATCAAAGTAAAGGGCTATTAAGCGTGCTTCTAAAGATTGCCTTAAAAATGTTCTGCGTTCTTCTTTCGCCCATTCTATGCATTCTTTACACAATTGCACCTAAAGAATATACAAATAAAGAATGTAAATAAATACAATATACTTAAGTTTTTGAATATATTTCTTGAGTACAATATGACTTAATATATTTAAGTATAGCATATTTTGTAGAACAATATCAATAAATTGTATAAGACCAAAAAAGTCTGAGTTTTAAAGCCATCAAGTCCCATAATCTTAAATTCCTCTCTAATTATAGTTTTATCTTTAAGAACTGACAATTACATGTTTCTTCCTTTACTTGTAATTAAAGTATCGTAGCTTGTAAACGTCGACATAGTTGACATTTGTTGTTAGTTGGACAATTGATCTAGCATAACCTAATCAACTCTATATCTTATATTGGAGCCTAACATTCTTTTCTCACAAGTATAAAAACAACAACAATTACCTCAATACCAATACCAGCTTCTAGATCTAGGAAGAAGTCCACCAAAGAGCGCACAAGCTTAGCAGCTTTTGCCTTACTGATGAGGCTGAGGAACGGTCTGGTGGCTTTAATGAGTTCGGCCAGCTCTTTCGCCTTGCCTTCCTTCTTGTAGAGTTCGCCCAAGTGCAGGATACCCTGCTCCTTGACGCGAATGTTGTCCTCGTCATTTTCTGCAGCGCCGATACTCGGATCCGACACAATCTCGTTCAGCAAGGAGATGCCTTCGCTGCGATCCGTCACCGAGACCGCCTGGGCCCGCTCGATCAACATCGCACCGGCCATCTCGGAGTCGTGGAGTCCTCGTTTCCTCGTAGACGCGATGATCGTCGGAGCGTGTCCGCGAGCGACTCACACTTGTCACGTTCGTCTACTGTTACTGCTAATAAACGCCGAAATGCAGCCGTGAGAGACAGAAAAAAAAAATGTCGCGGACGCGGAGCGCGCACGTATGCGTGTACGAAACGTGCCAGTCAACGCAAGTGATCTTTGTGTCGCAGCGCGGGCAAGCCAATCACACTCGTTGAACGTATAACTATTCTCACTCGCTTGCGAGGTAACCCAATAATACACTCTCGTTCGTTCCCTCACTTGCTCACGCTCCGCCGCTTTCTTTCCTCTGTATCTGTCTTGTCACTCCTCGCCACTCTTCTCGCCAGATCCCCGAAGCCGCAAAACTCGTGTCATGGTGCTACGTGAGTCAAGCCAGTCACTGTGTCATCAATGTCGCGCTCCCTCTTTTGACCGTGGATCGAGACTATGGAAAGTTTAAGCCCAATTTATACCGATGTAAAGCGTACTTAGTCGAAACTTCCGCATGAAAAAATGAACCAATCCGAACGGAGGACTCGATGGCGTTTCACGAAACTTGATTATAGTTTATCCGTATTTGAATAGGCATATAATGGATATACGCAAAATTGATAAGTCATGGCCTATATTCTAAATCTTCTTTTATATATAAGTGTCTGTAAAAAAGGCTTAGAAGCCACCTGATTGGCTAGGAAGCTATTTTTAAGGTACTTTTATCGACAAAAGAGGGTTCAGAATACGGGCCCATGTTTGACAAAGAAACGCGGCAATATTAAAATAGATAATTTTTATAATATAGGTAATTTCTTTAATTTCTTCTAAGGAAAATCTCACGGTTCAATTCTTGATTAGGGCAATATCTGTTATAAATAATATATATCTAACGTGACTTAAATATGAAAGTATAAAAGAGTAGTTTACTTAAATCTAATCAGTTTATCAGTTTTTATGAATTTGTAAGAGAATATTTGACATATTTTATGGGATTGTCTGTTGACTTTCATTCTGCATTAATAACGAAGCATTTTTCAACATCCGAATCTGTAAATTACACAGAGCTTCCAATAATCTGAAAAAAACGAATATGCAATATAACTATACATATTATACAATGTGACTTACTATGAGATTAGATAAGAATAGAAAGGGTTTTTTAGTTTATACCTTTTCTGAATATTTTCTATTTCACTATATGTCTCTGTAAAGTTCTTCAATTCATCATTAACAGTGCAATACACATTGCCTTTGGGACCAATTAAATCTATGATATCCTCTAAAACTTTTGAACACTTTTTTAATACTTCCTCAGTCTCCTTCCACTGTAATGGCGTTTCAGGTAGGATTATATCATTACAACATAATACATCTAAGGGCTCTAGAAGAGACTGTAATTTAGACAGCTTATCTTTTACTGTGCTAAACATTTCGTTTTCTGTAAAAACATTATATACATAAGTATATATTAAATCAATTATCAAATAAATTAATTAGTTTAAATTAGTTCAACTGGTTTAGATCTTACTGATGCATTTTGTTAATGCAGCTACTTGCATATCTGTCTCTGCTTGTGCTAAAGTCAAATTTTTTATATCTTGTTCTCTTGTCTTAATTTTTATCAGCTTCTTCATGTCTTGGTCAATCTCTTGTGTTATAGTAGCTAATTGTGTAATCATGCAATGCTTCTTTTCTTCAATTTTCTTTTTTATTATGAGATTTACTAACATGGATTGCAAATATTCATCGTACAGCAATGAAAGTTCTAAATTTTTACTCTCTGTATCTGTACCTTTTTGTATATCTAATAAAGACTGTGATGGCATGATTGATTGCCTGCTTGTGGCAATTCCTTTCTTCTGTAGTTCTACAAAAAAGCAATATAGATATGTAGTATTACATAGATATGTAGCATTACATTGGTATATAATAAAGAAAAACAGTTAGTACAAGTGGAATTTCTACAAAACTCACTCTGTGTTCGCATATCACTTGGCATAATCGTTTTTTTGTTAAATCTAGCTTCATTTCTAGATGTCATTGTATGAACATTGGGTAAAGTGTCCGACAGAGTCCTTTTAACATCTGATGTGCCTGCTTTGTGAGCTCTATACAGAAAAAACAGCATGACATTAAACAGATATAAATTTCATAATAAAATGACAGACTTTTTACCTTCGAATGCGTTCCAGTTTTGGAGTGTCCTTATTAGTATTCTGCATTTTTTATAACCACACTTTTTACAGATACAATAATAATGAGTTTAACCTGATATTTTTAATGATAATATTGTTATTGTTAGGCGTCGTTGTGTAGTTATTGTATATTATATGACATACATAATAACGCGGAATGACGTTATTATTATTTTATTTCTGGTGGACAATCCACCAAGTTTTCAGTCTTCTCCGAGAATATTTATGGCTATGTGGCTATGACAACGTTATTTTTTTTCTTTTAATTCTGGTGGAGTATCTTCCATCAAAACTTCAGCCTTCTCCGAGGATATTTTTGGCTATGTGGCTATGACATTATCGTTAACAGGTTAAGTCAACGGCACACGATGCTTGTTTTCATGAATATCCAATCAGAATACAGTAAATGTGTTCCCTTCCCTCTTATAATCTAAATTTCAATTTACTAAAATATGTTATATCATTAGAATATGTATATAATACCAATATATATATAAAAATATAAGCTCTATTTTAGATAATAAAAAAAAATCATATATCTAAAATAAGGTCCCACCGAGATTTGAACTCGGATCGCTGGATTCAGAGTCCAGAGTGCTAACCATTACACCATGGGACCTTGTCGCAAAGCAGAGCTTATTATTTGAATTAAAAGTGGAAAAGTTAAAAGTATAAATAAATATTATATTTATTATTTATTATTAATTTTAATAACTGAAAAATCTTAAAATTCATGTCTCTCCTTTATTATAAATACTTTAAATTTAATTACTTTGTTTTAAGTCCTCTTTTTCAGATGTTATTTTATAATTTTTTTAACTTTTAATAATTATAATACACATAGCTGATAGTGTATAATTCTAAAAAAAATCACTCAGTGCGGATAAAAAAGTTATTATAGCATGTACGTTTTTATTTATACATTTTCATTAAATATAAACGTTTTACACAACACACACACACACACACATACATTATATAAACAAGTCGATTGAAGCCCCAAACTGAATATTTTTTTCAATTTACATATATTAAAATTTTTATTTTTATGATATACATCTTCACTTCTTGCATATTTCTAATATAATTGTATTTGATTTCTTTTTTTAATTTTTTATTTGTTGGTTCTGCTACTTTTCTTACTGTTGGTGGGTATTTCAAAATTTCCTAAGGATCTTTTATTTCATCCTTCTTTGTTTCATCACTTTTTGTTTCTAATTCCTAATTAACGTAAAAAAATTATTATATATTAGAGCATTTACATAACATTAAAAAAATAAAATTCTCATTTTTACATTAGTTTTGTGAATATAATAATATATCTTACCTTATTTTTTGTACTATTGCATATTTCAATAAGATTATATTTCTTAAATTTATAATAATTAGGAGCAATAGAAAGTAAGCAAAGTCCTCGTATTATTTCAACAACAACAGCTATCTCTGGATTCTTCAAGTCAGCTTTGTTACCCGGATTTTTCTTTGAAATAATTTCTGCTAGATCTTCAATAATCTCATTTCTTTTAATACTATTATTACTATGACGGCTAAAATATTATTAATAATTACAATTTCTACACACACAAGATGACCATTTATTTTTAATTATTATTTGTGCTGACTTACTTAAACACAATACTAAATGTTTTGGGCTCCTGAGAAAAGTACTTCTCGAATAACACGCTAGCTCTTGTCCTTATATCATTCATGTATGCTTTACACACTACTTCAATTGGAAGTAATCTTAATAAGTATCTTGTGCATTGCTTCTTACTTGTGTCTAACTCAGTAACAATTTTAGTTACTAGTTCTAATGGTTTTGATAAGGTACTCATTATAAAAATCATATTTTTAACACCTGTGTCTACTACCTGCAAGAATAGTTATATTAAAAAGTATACAATCTCTACTTTTCATAAAGTAAAACCTCATCAATAATTATATGTAGCAACAAACCTGAAATCTTCGAGAAGACAATGGCATTTCACACTTTGCTTTAAGTTCATTGATTTCTTTCACTAAAGCTGTCGATATATCCTCCTCTCCATCAAGGTCTGAAGTAGATTTATCAGCCTCCTTCTTATCGAGTATATTTGATATATTTGATACCTCAGATTTCTTAAAATAAAAAGAAGGACAAAAATTAATATTGTTTTATGTGTACTCTCGAAACTAGTATTCTTTAACCATTAATACCTTAATTGTCTCCGACGTAGTACCTTCGTCCGCAAATTGATTAAGTAATTTGTAAGCGTCAGTTATACAGCCTTTTTCGTGAAAGTTGCATGTGCATAAGAATCCTGTCATACCTGGTTCTATTGTAAATAATTTACGTTTCTTGTGATTTTTGTGAAAATCTACGAAATGTTTATTTCTTTTACGTGTACTTGTTGTAACTTCGGATTGCATCTTTATTTGTTTTATTTATTTGTTATTTTCCTATTTTGTGCCAGGTAAAGTCAGGAAGTGCAGAAGGTAAACATTAAATGTACGCTACGCAGTTGGTGCACGTTGCACGTGTTTATTTGACATATCGAAATGGCTAACAATATGGCGTAACCAATCAGATTCTTCTCGTCTTTACATGTGATTTCACTTCCTTTGCTATGAAAAACATGCCTTACACGCCTTACATGTCTATATTCAAATTATGCACAAAAAACAAAAACTTTTAATTATGTTTTAAGGAACAATTCAATCAAAAAGTATTAAAATAATCAATTTGGTGCTCAATCCGAGTTGATGACGCGTTCTTCATAAATTTGTTTCCAATATTTCATAAACATTTCAGCTTGCTTCTTCAGGGTGAGATACAATCTGAAACTGAAACAGTTTCAAATATTAAGTATTAAAAAATCAGGTATTAAAATAATTCTTACTTCAAAGAAACGCTATGTATTTGTAAAGTTATCATATATATAAGCCAAGAACTTATCAATTTTTGTACGATTTCTAACAGTAATAATTGGAAAGGACTTAAAAATACATTTGCTTTATGCAACATTGATTTATATGTGTGGACTAAGTTCTCGTCTATAACATTATAATAACTTTTAATATTATGATGAGAAGGAAAACAATTATATTAGGGGTGGGAGAAGGATATCAGAATATCCGGCATAGAGGAACACGACGATTAAAGTACGTAGCTTCGATACAATAAAAGAGCGTGTCCTTAACTATATCGCATATGTAATATTATATCTAACACTTATCATTCTAAACTGTATAAAAACTGATTTTTACATAAAAATGTATCAGCGAGAAATAAGCAAGCTCTTGCTTTTGTGAACAAAAATATTTTCACACAATGTATGTATGTATGTGTGTATATATATATATATATATATATATATATATGCATGTATGTATGTATGTATGTATGTATTTTATAAATTCATTCACATAAAGCATTTTTATTGTATTTATATGAAATATCTCTAATAAATAAAGTGCAAGGTCTATTAAAACATATCCAGTTGTTTTTAAAGATAGAATTCTTTCAATGTGAAGAAGAATAAACTATGGATACTGCAAATAGTAATATTAATCACATATGAATTGCAATTGCCGTGTTTTTTTATATATATATATAAAGTAACCATAGATTTTCTGTCTTAAATTTATCATTTTACACGAGCAATATACAATGTACTAAAATATTATTTATTACGTTCAATATGCTATTTGACGTTTCCCTTATTGACAACAAGTTTTCCATAATTGCGTATTTAATACGGAATAAAATCAGGAGGATATAAAGAATTCTAAAGGTTAAAAAGTTCCCGATGCAATAAAATCTGCGGTGCGATTAAAATCTGCCGATGTTGGAGAAAGCTGCGAACAACGGCGCTGTAGTCGCGGGTGGTTGCTGATCGCCGATGTTTTTCAACAGATTTCCTTGCAACAGACTGTCGAGAGCTTTCTGAACTGTCGGATCGTTTAGGAGTGGCGACGGTGAAACTCCAGTGGAAGTGGTTGTTGTAGATGACGTAGTGGCAGTGATCGATGCTGCTGATATAACACGATGCACGTATGAAGTTTACAGTTTTAACGCTGACTCAACGGATTTTCTACAGTTCGTTAAATACCGCAAGGACCGATAGATGTACTTTGTACTCCAATTTTATCAACACAATCCCATGGTTTACCTGTTGCCCAGTTAGCTGGAGGCACCGGTGTCGGCACCGAAGTTGGCGCTGGTACCGGAGTAGGATCAGCAGTTGACGTGCTGGTTTTACTGCTGTTCAAGATGTTCAATATTCTTGTCTGTAATTCAGCTTGTTTCGGATCGTTAACCGCGAGCGTTGTCGTCACTGCCATATCCTTTGCGTCACCCAACTCCACTTGCACTTGTTCCTCGCGTTTCATATCGAGATATTTTATGACTCGGTCATATTGGAGAACTGTCAGTTGATGATTATCAGCCAACATATTTAGAAGAACTTGTATAGCGTCCGGATGACGTTCGCTCGCCAGAGGTGTGTTCAGCGGCACTGAACGTCCACCTGCCTTATAATTCGTAAAATCTCTCGAGATCAAGTTTATAGCATCTTCAACGGGCATATTTCTGTGTTCTGCAACGTGACGATAATTTAATGATCGATTAATATCGTGAAACAATTACTCGACAAAGCTGAATGAAGGACATTATAATCTTTTATATTGTGTCTTACCTTGCGGTAAGCCATGTAAGATATTCAGTGTTAAAGAATGGTGCTCTTGATTGATGGGTGTAACTACCACAGCGTACAGACAACCGCGGCTCGCGAGGTTTCCTAAAACACGACTTAAGAAAACATCTTCGTTTGGGAATAGCAGATCTACCGATAAACCGATCTTCTTCAATCGTAGTTCAATGGCTTCTGCATATTCTCTGTTGAAACAGACAACATGATATATAACACAAGCACTTGATTTTACGTAATAAGAGATATTGTAATTGTCTTACGTTAATGTTTTATTGACAACGATGATTTCACAATCGTTCTTCTCGGCCGCAAGATAATCAGATGATGCGCTCCCGCTCCTATAAGACATGTTTTTCCTATCATATATGCAAAAGTGCTTGCTATCGTGTTATTAAATTAATATAACATTCAGATAACAAGGAACTGTGGATATCAGAACTTTTAATTATCACGATAACGATTACCATCTCACCCGAAACTCGCATTTGTATCTCTAGTTCCAGTAGTTTTAAAATCATCGTAACGGTTTCCGGTGTCGTTAAAAGTGTCTCTACCGAAATTGTTACCGCGTCTATCTCCTTGCTTATGATCCCAGTCTCTCGTAGTAGTTTTCTCGTCTATTCGATTGCCCCTATTAATCGGGCTCCGATCTCTGAAATTGTTCGTGTTCGCGTTGTGATTATTTTTGTTTTTATTCTTTCCACCTCTTGTGCCTCGTGCTTTAAAGGTACCTCCGGTACCTAGACCGGCATTTTGGTTATTTCCCTGATTATTTTGATTTCGATTTTGATTCCCCCCAGGTCTGTTCTGATTTCCCATCTGATTGTTTCCAAACTGGTTGTTGATTCCTCTGTTTTGATTTCCAAATTGATCCGGTCCACGATTCAGATTACCTAAGTTAAACTGATTGTTTCCTCGATTTTGCGCAAGATTATTAAAATGGTCATTTCCACTGTTATTGTTGTGTTTTCCATTAAACTGGTCTTTGTCACCATCTCTAGCTTGATTTCCATCATCAAAGTGGACGTTTTCACCACTTCTATTTTCAGAATTTAATTCTTTTTGGTTGTTACCAAACGAATTATCATTCCCAAAGCCCTGATTTATGTTAAAACTTGTATTCCCTCCAGTAAAAGGTGGTTTATTTGCATTAAAATGATCATTTGTATTTTTAAACTGTTTATTCATGGAATTGAATTGATTGTTTAATCCACCCATTTGCTTTGCATTAACATTTCCAGATTGATTATCTTTCTTTGCTGGTCTGACATCTAGAATTTCAGAAGAAAACACAAGATCTATATATGTCAGTACTCATATTATATTATAAAAACTGAGAAAAATGTTAAAACTTAATAAAGTTTGTAAAAATATTAGTAGAGGAAATATGAAAACAACTATATTTCTATACCTATGCGTCTGCCTTTAAACATTGCGCCATCTTCATTTTGAATAGCTTTTTGAGCAGATTGTTCATCTTCAAATTGTACAAATCCAAAGCCTCTATTTATCAATGCTGCTATGACAGTGCCATATTTAGCAAAATGCTCCTCTAACTCTAATCTTGTGACATCATCAGTTTGTAAATGACCCACAAAGATGCGACTTGATGCTGTAGCAGGATCTTTCAACAGTCTGGCACTCATTCTAATTTTATAAAGCATTTTTTAGATGATTATTTTGATAAACTATCAAAAAACACACATTCTCATAAAATTTTATTAAAACTTACAAAATCTATCTTTTGTATAAGTTATAACAAATTCAAACTTATTTATAGTATATAATTGTTAAAGAATAATATGACTAGACTGTTACTACTTAATTTTTAATCATGAAAGTAGAATGTATAGAACAATCCAGTGTCTATGATTAATGAATATATTAAATTGAGTGTATTTGTGTCAAGTGCTTGAATAATCAATATAATTTCTTGCTTTTCGATAATATTAGTTATTGTGTGTAATAGAGTGAAAATTTCTCTAACCTCAGAATAATATACTTTAAACTTTAATAGTTTAGAATATAATAAAATGGACGCGCGATAAATCTTTGAATAAATCCCATAAATTTAGTACGTTGAAACAAATCTGGCGAATGATATGTCATATGAAAAAATTACTTAGTACAATATTATAAAAGACTATTTTTGACAATAACGTCGAGATACATCGAACTATAACAGCTGTATTGAACCAATATCTATATTAGCAAAATTGTGAACACATATCGAATTAATGAAGTAAATATATATCACTAATGAAACTTACCTCAAATAACTTTCTTATACTTTAGTCACAACAAAAATCTTGATCGCACGATTATTGTTTGTATATTTTGCAAAATCGTTTGTCGTATTACGACAGAGCCATCTTGTTGAAGCGTACTCGTTTCCCAGCATGAGTAACAACCTAAGGATGCGTTCGGAAAGACGCTATTAACGCTATCAACGCTACATATGTCTATACTAAACTAGAGGTTTGTTCTTTTCAACTGAACTAGTGCTGCACTAGACTACACTGGTTCGGAACTGGAACTGGCAAGTACAGCAAAAGTTCATAGGTTCAGACATGCAAGATACGGCTCCTGCACACAGGACGCGGTAATGATTGCCGCGCGGCGGAAGTTCGCGCGATAGCCAATCAATATGTTGTTTTTCCGTAGGAGAGCTAGAAGAGCTAGAAGGTTATTACGAAAAGCAGCATATTGATTAGCTGTCGTGCGAACTTCCGCCGCGCGGCAAGCATTCCTGCGTCCTGTGTGCAGGAGCCAATAGGATGGAAAAGAACGCCATAGTGCAAGAAACAACATAGCGCAACACATAATTTTAGATAAATAATTCTTCAGATAAAGAATTTACTGTACTTGCGTTAATGTATGTATCCCAATTGCCCGCAGAACATATCTGGGATATTACCATCTTCATTCCTTTTAATTTCTGCAATATTCATCTCTTTCATCTTCATAGATCTGTTCTTTTCCCCTGAACTATTTACACTGGTACAGTAACTTTTACTCTTGCACTGCACTGCTTGCACTAGCTCCAGACTCAGTGCAAGCAGTTCAGTGAACTGTTGCACTAATGGCTCCTGCACGCGGTAATGCTTGCCGCGCGGCGAAAGTCCGCGCGACAGCCAATCAATATGTTGTTTTTCCGTAAGAGCTAGAAGGTTATTACGGAAAGCAGCATATTGATTGGCTGAACTTCCGCCGCGCGGCAAGCATTACCGCGTCCTATGTGCTGGAACCATAAGCAATACGATTAGACTTGATGCCTTATGACTCCTGCACACAGGACGCGGCGGAAGTTCGCGCGACAGCCAATCAATATGTTGTTTTTCCGTAAGAGCTAGAAGGTTATTACGGAAAGCAGCATATTGATTGGCTGAACTTCCGCCGCGCGGCAAGCATTACCGCGTCCTATGTGCTGGAACCATAAGCAATACGATTAGACTTGATGCCTTATGACTCCTGCACACAGGACGCGGCGGAAGTTCGCGCGACAGCCAATCAATATGCTGCTTTCCATAATAACCTTGTAGCTCTCACGGAAAAATAACATATTGACTGCGTTCAGCAGAGAAAGCTGCTTTGTAAAATTAGCAGTAAAATCAGCAGAGAAAACTGTTGTAAAATTAATGTATCTGATTGGTATATGCTCTTGGATTCAACCAAAATTAAGAGCATACTCCAATCAGATTCACGAATTTTACAACAGTTGCAAAGCAGCTTTCTCTGCTGAACGCAGCCATTGATTGGCTGTTGCGCGAATTTCCGCCGCGCAGCAAGCGTTCAATTCAATTTCAATTTTAATATCTGGCTCCAGGCCTCTCTAAGAGTTATGCCCTAACGCCATTTTTCCGATTAATGAATATATCGAGACTAAAGTCTTGGAAAATTCCAAGACACGTTCCAAAAAATCCGCGCGGCAAGCATTGCTGCGTCCTATGGACAGGAGCCAATAGTATATCCGATTCTTACTAGAATCGATTATTTCGCTCGATATACCGAGTTACCGATAATCAGTGCACTCCAATTAAATTACTAGAGTCATAATCGATTATTTTTTATCGATGTCCCATCTCTAATTCGCCCTGACTGATAACTTGACTAATCGATTATATCGATACAATTCGTGTGGAATTTTTCTCTTCTTTCATGCGTGTGAACAACTTGATTGACTAGTGCCTATAATTTTGCAAGTGAATATTGTTTCAGCGTCGTAACGTGCAAGACGTGATGTTTCGAGTGGCTGGAAGCTAAGGACGCAAATACCGCTAAAGTAACGGAGCCCTTGGTGAAACGCTGTCGATTTTCGAGTGGCGCACAGAGGTTATTTTTTGTTATCAGTTCGATCCTTCACATAACATTTACATCTACGCAAAATGATATGATAATTGTAACAGGAACGCATACCGAAATATACTATAGTGTTATAATGAACAGTTAGATAATAAAGTAGTCATTATCAATCCGTTATTTGCATCGATTCGCTCGTATCTCTCCATCTGACTGAACTGTCAAAGTATACTTTTGACTGTGTTGTTTCTTTGTTTCAATACACAATTTTTTGTGTTTGCACGTTGTTGACACTAGCTTGACTAGCAGTGTCAAGAACATATTCCTAAATCGACGTATCATTGCACAGCTCTTTTCTTGTAAAATTATATTTGTACATGAATTGTGCAGACATATGAGTACACACATAATATGATATATAATAAGGAAAAAGTTGTCGTAACAAAAACGTCATTAGCAGAAATGATTCATTGATCATAACTTTTGTTTCAGGAGATTAGCAGAAGACCATGGGTGCAACACCGAGTCGCTGCGAAGATCTCTCCAAGAATGTGTACTTGGAGAAATTCTGTGGGAAGCAAAGCGTACTTACAAATGATCCATTCTGGAACACATTTCTGTCATACAATATGCGCCCACCTATTACAAGAAATGATCAAATAGAGCTTGACTCTCGTTTGGATTTATCGTGTCAGCAGTTGCTTGTTAATAATTTATCCACTGGCAACTTTGGTACCTTGATACAAGTTGCTCTTATACGCATTAACGAGCTGCTTGCTCCTGTTCAAAATCAAAAGTGAGTCTTTTTATTATCTGTAAATTGTATTCATTTGCAGAGGGAGAGAACAAATACTATATACATATACCAAACATATTTCTCTGGTATCATATTCTTAAAAGTAATTTTATCGTTTAAATTTGAGAGAATGATCTTTTCACTTGTAGTATAATATCAGCATGGCAAACATACAATGCACTGTTTGCTGTAAGGTGCATCTTGAAATATCTCATCGAAACTGTTGGCGAAGAACAGATGTTGAAGCACATTGAAGCACCGCTAACAACTGTGACCAATGAAGCAATGTCCTCTTACAGACTGGAAGTGTTTTTCGAAGCTTTAATAGAGCTTATTACAGATGTACCCCTGTGGTAAGTGAAAGCAACACATACACGCTACGTTCATCGCGATACATACGACACGTGTTCCATACACGTGTATACATAAGTGTATCTGCATTTGCTTACAGTGAATTTACGTACGTCGTTCATTTGGAAGCAATTAATTGTTTACTTGTGTTGCTTTCGGTGCAACTGTTTTCTCAAACTGCAGCTGAGTACAGCGCTGTATATAGGATAGCGATGCATGCGCACTCGAGCAGCTGCAGCCAACATGCGCCTGCTGTGGTGTGCACATTGTTGCACAATTTTATTCAACAGGAACACGCTCCTCCGGGATTGCTCACGCAGCAACCCGGCGGTGGCATTGTGTTCAGTATTGCTGGTAAATATACGACGATGCGATATCGCTTTCGAGGTTTGCTTTAATGCTCACCATTTCAGCTGGTCTCTGGAACGTGATAAGAATGGGCATGGGCAGCGGTTTGAAGAATGTACAGATTGCACACAATGGCGCTACCGAGGATGAAGAAAGGAAGCGCGATACAGAAACTCCGCTCGCTAGTCAATCCCTGTTGTTACTATTGGTTCTGACCAACCATTGCACCGCCATGCAAAACCCATATAGAAATGCGCTTTTCTCTTTTATAGATATGCAAGGTGCGTATCAAGCTAACTGATTAGTCACTCCAGTCCCTCGCGACGCAGATCGTTGAGACGTTTTATCGCTTGTAATTTATTCCTTGATGGTGACGACAGCAACACAAATGTTTCTTTTCACAGAGGATTATAATACGTCGCAAACGAAGGGAGCTGATGCCTTCAAATTTAATCTAAATAAACTGTACAGTACTATTTGTAAAATACCAAATACGGACGAAGTCACGCTCCTACTCTATATGCTGTTGCACAGAAACTCGAGTGTGAAACAGGACATAATGAGAAGGCCTGACATACAATTATTGGTAAATATCCAACAGTCTCTCTTCTTTTGCGGGTAATTGTTACGTTAAATGTGGTTATATTTTAGTATCTCACGTTAAAACGTTTGTTTGTGTAGGTAACACCGATATTGCAAATCCTGTATCATGCGCCAAATAATACGTCGCATCATATTTACATGTCTCTCATTATCCTCTTAATTTTGAGTGAAGATGAAACGTTTAATAAACGGATACATGAAATTGTAAGTACTACGTCGCATGTCTTTATACGCGCTATTATATACTGACTATTAATAAAATTTCCTATTATAACGAATATAATTTGTTACTTTTCTGTGTTTTTTATTTTTTGTTTCCAAGATGCTTAAAGGTGTGGCGTGGTACACTGAGAGATCTATAAGTGAAATATCATTAGGTGGTCTTTTAATTCTCGTTGTTATTCGTACGATACAGTATAATATGTTTAAAATGAGAGTAAGTAACACTTTGCATACACTAATACAAATACATGACGCGTATTCAAGTTTCGATATGCATGTGTGCCAAACGAGACTGAAAAGAATAATATATTTCTGTCATTATCAGGACAAATATCTCCACACAAACTGTCTGGCCGCCTTGGCGAACATGTCTGCCCAGTTTACGTCGTTACATCCTTATGTCAGTCAGAGGTTACTCAGTCTATTTGAAACACTCGCTAAGAAGCACACGCGATTAGAGATCAAAATTCGAACGCAGCCGACTGTTTCTGCCGATAGTGCCGTCGTGACTGTTAATGGAGCTATTGCAAGCGCAGATTTGGTAATTACACAAGATCTCGTACCAGAGATCTATGTAACGCGCGCGCGCGCACGCACAGTTATCGTGTGAACTATCTTATTCCAGATTCAAGACTTGACTATACTGGAGGAAGTCCTACGGATGGTGCTAGAAATTATAAATAGCTGTTTAACCCACAGATTAGCACACAATCCTAACTTGATCTATACTCTTCTGTATAAGAAAGACGTCTTTCAACCATTTAGGATGCATTCCGCTTTTCAAGATATCGTGCAAAATATCGATTCTGTGAGTCTTTTTCTTTCCGATTTCAAGCGGCAAGCGATGAACCAATACTTCTGTATTAATGTATTATAATTTAAATCGACGCGCGAAATGATTTTTAGGTAATAAACTTCTTCTCTTATAAGTTGGAGCAAAAGGACCAGTCGCAACTTGGCGTTAGTCAAGTATTAGCCACTATACAGCAAGGGACTTTGGAATGGCCACGAGATCGTTTAAGGGTATGTAAAAACTTGGAAATCATCGATTTATTCTGTAGCGATTTTATTGCGAAAACATTAACGCTGTCATCTTCTTCTTTGTCGCGTAGAAATTTCCAGAATTAAAGTTTAAATATGTAGAGGAGGAACAACCGGAGGAGTTCTTCATTCCTTACGTGTGGAGCGTCGTTTGCCAAGGAGCATTATTGCATTGGAGCGCAGAGAATATAAAATTGTTTTCCCCCAACAATGGCGAGACAACGATTATCGTTTGCTGATATTGAGATGAAAGATGCACGCTGCTGTAAGTATTCCAAGCGATAACTTAAAACACGCGGTACCGTAAGTTTGATAACAAAATTTGTCGGATGTCAAAGTATAAATAATATTTTCCTTCCGATACGAGAGATTAGGAATTTTCACAACTAGAACGACATGAGAATCGTCGCGCGTATGTAAGAAATGTTTATTGCGATTACCTGTGTGATATCTCAAAGATGAGTGTCGTATACGCAGTAGGAGATCATTTATAATCGGAATATTGTCCGGAACGCGGAACATTTCTGACCATATCACTTTCTTGTTGTATTATTTTAATATTTATTACGAAAATGGAGCAAAGAGAGAAACATGCGAGAATATTAACGTTTATTGAAAAAAGGATTAAACCTTCTCATTTGTCCATATTCGTGTCGTATACTTTGTTCGTTAAGATAATGTAGAAAAAGAGAAAAACTAACTGACTTGTACAAATGATACGCTGATAGATGTTATGCCAATGAGTGCGATTATTACGTATCGATACGTATCAATGGGACTAGTTTAACATTTTTCATTACGAACGCTATCATAAGGAACGATAGAAACAAAATTTACGTTACTAATTATCTACTAATGTACGCATGAGCAGTTTTACAATTAGTTCGTAAGTACTACGCAGTTTAAAAATATACTACGAACATCTATAATTTTGACGCTAAAACTTGTTACAATATCATCTTTGTACACCTTAGAAGACCTTCTCTGAAAAAATGTAAAATGTAATCCTAAAACTAGATATGTATTGTTTCCAAATATCACACTACATAGGAGCGTTATAAGGTTAGTGAGCTCTCTCTCTCTCTCTCTCTCTTTCTCTCACACATGCCCGCGCGCGCGCAGTAGCCTAATTAAAGTAGCGTCGAAATACAATTATGTTCCAAGTGTCGCGTTTACGTGCGCGCACCTGTTTGTAAATAACTATCGAGATGGAGAAAGTTTCCATTTGTCTAATTTTAGACTGCAGCATAATATCTGTATACTCTGCAATTTCTCGCGCGCTGTATATGTGCAAATATAATTTCTATTTAATATATATAAATACAATAAAAAAAAAAACATACACTTCTCTCTATGAATTACTTGTCGATAACCCACTGTCATTCTCGATCAGTCACCGCGGCCATGTTGGATTGGTGATGTCAAGCGAGAAGCGAGAAAAACCATGCTCAAAATACCTGCGAATGGGGCTAAATAAAAAGATATATCATTAAAATGACACTTGCAATCTGTACACAGTTGCGAAATGCTCCTTCTCTTTTGCTGAAATAATTGCATAACCGCAAAATGAACGTGACAAATCGCCTCATTTTGACAAAAAATCAATTTCGTGCTGAATATGATAAAACACGCATTAAATATAAATATCACAATGAGTTCAGTATCCGGAACATTTTTACACTTTCACAATTGTATCACAATTGTGTGATATCAGCACGTACTCTATAATAACGCTGTGGTTTTGCAGGAAAACATTGATCGTCTGTTGACATCGTTAAAACTGCTCGTTTTCAATGAACTTTTACACAATAAGTTAGAGAGAGACAAGTATGTTTTCTTTCACTCTCTCTCTCATTGTCTATATTAGTGCAAAAGTTCTTCGGAAACAAACAGACCTATTTTCTCGCCTAATAGTTCATTTCTTGCCATTTTCAATCATATCGTTACCATTAACGCAGAGTTCTCCGCTGACTGATCAGGAGTCTTAAACATGACTTAAGATAGGACCCGGGATAAGAATCTGGTTGTAACATATAAGAGAGAATAAAAATAATTCATCAACTACTTTTTAGCCGACAAGCCAATTGCGAGTGACATATCGCGCACAATCGCGAGAATCATATGAATGTAATTGATGTGGATACAATGACTCGAAACGTGGGAGCGCCTAGTGAAGCGCGGTGACCTGTCGGCTACGAAATAGTCAATTTGCTCGTATCTCGAATGTACATCTTTATTAAACAAATACAGTTGACGTCTTAATGTTATTTATAATGTCGTTATAGATAATATTTCATTTTTTCCTAGCCTGTGTGCAGCGTGTATATGCGGCCGCGCGTGATCTTGTGTTGTGTATGTGTGTATAATTATCATACTATTGCTAATACTTCAGTTTTGTTGAACAATCTTTCAGTTTGCAGAGTAACAAGGTAATTTGACATTTCTGTGCGTCGCGGTGCAGACGCGCCGAGTAACTCAGTGTGTCACGTTAAAATTAAAGACTCGTTCAAGTCATAAACATTGCCTCAGCCGTACGTCACGTTACGGCTTGTAAACGTGTGTGTGCTTAGCATACAGATAGTACAATATGTCTTTCTTTTTTTCTTTTTTTTTATCCATAATAATTAAATTCCTTAACTGTACTATATCGTTACTTAATCTTATTAGTTAACACACAATCTGCGATGGGAGGGAATTTAGTCGGCACGCAATGTTATTCCATCACGGCCTATCGCTAGTATCCGTAGTTGAATATTTCATTCGCCACGCAATTTACCGCTCACCTTTTAACGCCCGATCGCATCACTATCGCACACGATTTCATCACTGTTTTATTGAAGGGCGACGCACATGTAATTGGAAATAATAACGAAACCATCGACATGAACGCTCGTAAAACTCGCTCGAATCTTTGTTGATCGCTCGTATGGCACCTCGTATGCATGGTAATTGCGTTACGTTCTTCGACATTGCACCTTACGTTGTATATGCTTGGTAAATGTTTTCTTTCCTTTAGCCATGCTTTAAGCGTTCCATTTCTTTCGGAAAAACAGAGATCAGTCGATCGCAGAATAATACGCACAGCAAAGTGTCGATGACGAACTCTATCGAATCGAAGCCGTTACCGCGAGAAGTGTCGAGATATATCGACGAAAACTCCATGATTTATATAATACATTTCGCCCCATTACAGAGAAGAATTGCATCGCGCTTCCAGGATTGTATTCCATAGAGAGTATATATTTGTAAGATTTGGAAAAAGATGCATATTGATTTCCTACATTTCTACTTGCTGCTTCAAGAAGACGCGAATTAAAAAGAGATTCGACCGAATACTGCGAGCATTTGCTTTGCGAAGCGTTACAATTTCTCAAATTACACACGCACGCGATTGCGCATCTACATGCACGGTTGTGTCGTCGCATCGTGATACGTGCGTACATATGCGTGGTGTGTATGTGTGTGTATCTGTATGTAAAAATCTATACGTGTCGAAGACGAACGTGTAATATGTACCGGGTAGACGAAAATGGAATCTCCCTTCCTGCAAAAATTTGAAAATTTAATTTCCATATTATTGTTTACCTTCCGACATTTCTCCGCGAGAGCTCTCTCGTTCTTGTTTAAATTTAAAATATTTCTCTGGCAGGTAAACAGTGTGTGTGTGTGTGTTTATGCACGCGCGTCTGTGCGTGCGCGTGTTGTGTGTATAAGTGAGACGAGGGTGTGAGGAAGGGGAATATGTATATTTATATACGTAAACATACATACATACACGAAGGTACCTGTGCATATGTATACGTACACGCTAGCAGCCTACAAAATACAATAGTACATTACAAATTCATACCATCCCTTCTCTTCCCTCTTTCCCCTTATATCATCATTTTGCAAACAGCTTATATCTTTTATGTATATTTATATATATTATATATATATATATATATAATAGTATCATCTAGTTGGTTTTTTGTTCAGCATAGTTTTTTCCTCTCCCGTTAATTAAGTACATCTTTAGAGCAGACGTGCGCGCACCCGACTGGATTCACATGTCACGAATCATCTTATTTGTCATTGATTTCTCGATTCGAAAGAGATCTGAAATTCTCTCATGTTTCAATGTCTCGATACGAATAAAATGACAAAAGAATGCTCATGTGGACTAGGGCATCCCTTATTTTATATTGTTTGTATTACGAACGTTTCGTCGAGATACTTTCAATTTGCAAACAAGTCAAAGATATTATCGTCAACTCGATCGGATGAAAATAACTTTGGAATATCAAAATAAAGCTGCGACCAGTAGAGTAAAGCCTGATCTACGATATGCTCTTTGTGTTCTGTTTTTTGTCTTTTTCTGGCTTAAAGCTTAAGATTTGAGTCAGAAAGAGATAAAGAGAAAGAAGCAGGAAGCAAAGAACACATTGTAGATCAAGCTTTATAGAAAGAGAAGACTGTCGAAAGTGTAACAGATCGTTGTGTATACAATGCGGGATGCCCTAGTAGTCGAGTACAAAGTTGCCGCTTACGAGGAGATCCGTAATGCGACACTGGACTTTTACGCGCTCTCCTAACTTTGTTACATCCGACATCGCGTAATGTACTCATCAAAGAAGGTAGGTGGATAGGTGTAAGTATGTCGTTACGATGTCGCATGCATTGATTAAACGTCGCGATATGCGACGATCAAACGAATTAGCGATACCGTACTCTCGCGAATTGCACGATTCATCACTGTGTGCTTCACGAACGCTCATACTCGAGGAGTAAGCGTACGAACGCGTGTGTACATTTACGTAAGCTAATTTAGACACACTCATAAAGGCCAGATCCTTCGCTCGATCTTCCGAGAACTACTACCGAATTTCGCGCACAAGTCTCTCGCGAGCGTTTCGATGAATCGACCTCTACCTTCGCTCCGCTGTGTTACGCGACGCTTACAAAATGCGCGAGATTACACAAGATTCGCCTTGCAATATAAGTCGCATTGAGAAAATGCTAAAAGGAGAAACGGTACAAAAGCAAGCGGTACACACCGGTATTTAGTGTATTATATAAGTGTATATACGATCTGGTGTTATATCGGGAACAGAGATGAACGATCGAACGCGCCTCCCTCTGCCTCGTTTCGTCTTTTCCTTGTAGTCTTATAGTCGTCAATCTCTTCTGATTCCGCACTTTCCGGACAATCCGAATTGTCGATCATCAAAGCGTCTGTTTTTCGCGCGAGTCGGAGAAATGGGTAAAAAGTATGTATCGTTGCACCGGATTTTTTTCGGAGATAATTTAAAGGGAAGAAAGAAAAGGAAACCAAGAGACTATCCCTCGAGAACCGACGTGGGAAAAACTTTGTCCACAATGACAAGTGGCAAAAGTCTCGCGGGCGCGAATAGCCATGCGATGGCTCGTTGACGAAAAGTTTCCGCAAACGTTTCCGACGAATACCTTATAAAAATGATATGATATGCTCATTGAAAAAATAAATTGTTCATTATAGTTTCCTATATGAATATTATAGATATCCGTACGCAAGAGTTCTCGGTACTAATGTGCCTCCGCCGAACAAACGGCCGGATTCGGTATAATTCTAGATTCGCAGGGCATACAGAGCAGACATACAGCAGACAGACACACACACACACCACTCACACACACGAGGATCCGTTCATTACTTCGCGGTGAGTGACAGCGAATGCGCAGTTGTCACCATTTCACGAGGAGGAGGATATATATATTTATATATATGTGTGTGTGTATGTGGATATATAGAAAGAGGGGGAGAGGGAAGGAGAGAGAAAGAGAGAGAGTGAGCAAGAGTGATTCATATACCCTACGGGATCATTGCACGTGTGCGACGAGTTTTCCGGCACTAAGCATCGACAGGCATTGTCGAAGCTCGTGACAGCTTCCGTACAACGACGCGTATCCCGCAGAAACGCGACGTCGCCCGATCACGTGTCCGATTCTTAACTTCTACAGCCGTTAATGGTAAATGTCTAAAATACATGTCTAAAAACGAACTCTTTGCAATAGCGTGCGACAAAAGGTAAAGTCGCGTCGAACGGCGTAAAAGATGGCTTTCAGGGCAAAAGTTGTCGTTCAACAGACTTTAACGTTTGCCGTACCTTCATTGCGATACGGTATTGCAAAAAGTTTCTAGTAACGATACGGAGCGAACCCGTTTAGCTCGATGTCGAGGTCGACGGGACACTGACGAAAATCGCGGCCTGAGATTCGCTATTAAAATATACATACGAGCGGGGAATGCAACGTACTACTGCTTAAAAAGGCACGTAAAAATCAGTTTCTCCGTGAAAAGAGCAATTGCACAATGTACGAATGTTACGGGGGGAGGATCAGGAGGGGAAGAGCGCGCGCGCTGGTCGCTCTCGATGGCTCCTCCATCCGCTGCGCATTACATCGGATTTAGAATAGTAATCGCCGCTACTCGAGACGAGAAACTCTCACCACGGAATAATGAATGGACACTGTATATATGTATACGTAGAGCACGTGCGTGTGTGGCGCGCACATAACCGCGTAATACGATACCTATCGTTAATTCGCGGACACTCGTAGCGAGAAACCGGCGACAAATGTTCGACAAGCCGATTCTAATCAAGCAATGTCTGTTGGAGAAAAGAGGAGCGAAAAATATTGCCGGGCATACGAAAAACACTCGATCGTGCGCGGACCGTTCCTTTGTTAAATATTTCATTATTCGTAAGAGCTCGTTGAGATTAACGGCCGGTACACCCCGAGCGACCGTTTTCGTATCGATCGTATCGTATGTGCACGCGCGCACACACACATATATATGTGTGTGTGTATATATATATATATATATATATATATATATATATATATATACGAATATAATGCTATACCGATTACTGTGTTTTAACGATGAAGCGTTATCGTAAGATGATGCGCACAGCAATGTCTACTGTCATTGCCCTTTCATTTCCTGTCGATCAATCGTGAAGGAACATTGTGCAAAAACGATCAAATAACAAGTAAAATTGCGAGTACGGGCTAATATCGTATGGCCCAGCCCGATTCGCGACAATAGAATTCGACTCGACATATCTATTCTGCCAGTCAATTATGTGTATCAGTCGCGAGAGTGTTTTTCATCAAATACGAAAGACATGATTATTGCGAGAGAATACATTCATGAGATCAAATGCGTGTGGATCGCAAGTAAGAGTTTAGCCGAAGACGATGAAGAGTAAAAGTTGACTCAGCAGTGTGTTTAAAACTACGTTTCTCATCGGGGCCGTCCTGCCTAACAACGATACAAACAACTATTCCGATAAAGTGTGGCAAACAATAGTCGTAGCGTTAGAGCACGGTCGATACAGCGATAATCATAGGATAGCGTAAAAAAGCAAAGAGATGGCTGGGATTATAAAAGGAGAGAAATGAGAGAAAGAGGGAAAAGAAGAGTTCCCTTGTCCTATTATACTCTACCAAGGATGAGTCGAGAATATAAATTAACAACTACTGTAAACAGATATCTCTGACGGGAAGCATTTCCCGGCGGAGCTTAAGTATCTCTTGCGTATATTTGATTCTACCAGACATCAGCGACGTGTTTGCAGGTAGAAAGATTGCAACTACTCGATAAAGCGTCCCGCACTGTTCTCTTGATACTCAAGACGAACTACTAACTGAATGCCGTTGTCAATCGTTAGTCAATCGTTATACCAACGTCGTGTCTACGGACGGGGGGACGGATGTAAATACAATGACGCGCGCGCACTCTCTCTCTCTCTCTCTCTCTCTCTCTCTCTCTCTCTCTCTCTCTCTCTCTCTCTCTCTCTCTCT